GAGCCCTTAGCGACATGGCAAACAACTCTTGACTCGGACGCTGAACTTGTCTCCGAGGGCCAAGCCGACTTGGACTTAGGGGCTTCCCCTGGGCTCTGCGCGGAGCTGAGAAGGGAGTTTCCCATCCCTATCCACCTGCCACTCATCCCTTGACTACTGTGGACTGCAGCGAGAAACTCAATAAACCATCCGAACGAACTTTGGAGGCTCCTGTCTTTCCCTCGTAACCATCCCAGCTATACAGGACAGTCCGGGGACCTCTAGCCCGGACCTGACCCCTTACATTTATACAGTAACGTTATAAGCCTCCATGAATATATCAGAAATAAGATATTTCGAATGAGGTAAAAATAAAATAAGAAATTCGTTCAGATTCAAGCGAAAAACGCAAACCGACACGTTTTAAGCTCGCGCAAAGCGAGGTTGCCTTCAAACGGCTATGTTTCACATAGACAAATCTAGGCCGATTTTGACCGCATCACGCAAAATTGCGTTTTCCTTTCTAGACCGAGAAGGAAATAATATTTTTGGATGAAACTTGGACAACAATATCCTGCCATACGTATCTATCTCTGCTGTGAACAGATTTCCTCTGTCTTGAATTTTCGTAAAGCTGTAGACAATTCATCTTTCTTCATTTTTCGACCATGCCCAAAAATTCCCCTGTAATGTGCGGTTACGGTATTGCAATGATGAGGTAGAGTTAGGGATTTACATTATGAAATAAACAATCTTTTATATACGCCTATTGAGGACCTTTCAGTGATATCACCACGTCCTTTTTCAGCTGTTTCACTTAGTCGTTTCGGGGGAATGTAAACTTCTATTTTCAAAAGTTGTGAGAGATGTATGGTTTCGTGAAGAAATTTCAATTGAACATAACTCCGAAACGAATTAGTGCAACCATCTTAAAACGATGTGGTGATACCACTGGAAGGTCCTTGCCAGACCTATGTAGAAGATTGTGTCTATGTCATAATGTAAATCCCTAACTTTACTTTATTATCACAATATCGTACATTCTAGTGCGACTTTTGGGCGTGGCCGAAAAATGAGGCCAAATGAATTGCTTGTAGTAGCTTTGCGAGAATTCAAGAAAGAGCTAATCTGTTCACAGCATAGATAGACCAGTATTTCAGGATACTTATGTTCAAATTTCATCCAAAAATACCATTTTCTTGTCGGTCTAGAAAGGAAAACGCAATTTTGCGTGGTGCCGTCAAAATCGGCCTACATTTGTCTATGCGAAACATAGCCGTTGAAAGGCGCCCTCGCTTCGCGCGAGCTGAAAACGTGTCAGTTTCTGTATCTCGCCTGAAACTGTTTGGATTTCTTTCAAATTCGGCTGATCTGATATAGAAGGTTAATTACTATGTTTCTGGATGTAAGTGACGAGTGCATATCTATAAAAGCCTTCCCATTGTGTTTACACTACCAATCACTCTGTCTGACTGACTCGTGCACTCTCTCGTCAAGCTGATAAAGAAGCCTTCCCATTGCGTTTACACTACTAATGTACAGGTTAACGCTTTATTGAATGTCTTCGGAAGGCACGGCTTTTCGCGCACTTTATATATAGTTAATATATCGCACGTTGGTTATTTATGAATTGTACTTACTCTGTGTATGTGGCGCCCCCGGTACCCAAGACATTGAATAATTTTGACTTGCGAGGAACTTGAGTGCAGAGCCACACAATCCCTGCCCTTGTCTGATTACATTAATAAAAATAAATAAATGAAACAAAAACCGAATCGACAGGTAAACACAAATGCCTCAAGCTGTGTTAAAAAACAAACAACCCCAAAACAAGCAAACAAACAAGGAATACAGAACGATGTGTCTGACGCCGCACCTTTTCGCCTGTGTTCTTTCGAATATGGTATTATCTTTTGGCCTGGTATCTGAGATTCTCTTTGGAAAGAGTCAGCCTTCACAGTGTAGTCCTCTATGCAAATTTTCCCTACATCGCGCAGCCATTTTGAGGTGTCAGCTAGATGCTTAGAGAGTTACACACTTCGTTGTGTTACGACAGTAGAAACGGCTTAAGAACAGTAACTTTCCTGTTTATTTTTGTACAAAAAAATGATAACCATTCGACACTGACCGTTACCTCATTCCAAAGAGGCGCGTTTCCCTCAGGTCCATTGCCAACGTTGAAGCCAGGAATCGAAGTTAACATGTAAATACAAAAGGCTTCAGCTTTCTCTACAAAAACAAGAATAAAACGCACGTTTCACACCATACGTTTTCCTATGTATTGTTGGAAATGTCATGGCAATTTGCCAAAGCGTTTGGTCCTACTGTCTCTTTGCAAAGAGGCAGCCTTCACAATGTAGTATTCAAGGCAAGTTTTCCCTAAATCGCGGAGACAGCTCGCAGTGATATTTCAGATATCTGATGATTAGAGAGTTGCACGGTGGTCATGTTTTGTGTTACGGCAAATAGAAACAGTTTCGGAACAGTCACTTTCCTTTGAATCAGTAACGATTCGACGCTGACCGCTACCACCATTCGACAGTGATGCGTTTCAGGCTGGAACAGTCCTCTTTCAGCCATGAGGCCAAGATTCGACAGATATACAAAGAGATTTAGCCGTGTTAAACAAACAAACAACGAAACACAAGCAAGTAAAGAAGCACGTGTGTCTCGCCGGACGTTTTCCGTGTATTGTATATGATTGTGTGCATGCTGTCTCTTTGCAAAGAGGCAGGATTCAGTTTTCTTGGCAAGTGTTAATTGCGTAGCCATTTTGGAGTGATATTTCAGCTAGATGCTTGACATGGTAGTCTTTTTTGTGGTACGGAAAGTTTGTAAACAGTAACTTTTTTTTGCATTATTAAAAGAAATGATAACGATTTTATACTGACCGGGACCTCATTCGAAAGAGACGCCCTTGGTGGGCGCACTCCTGTGTCAAACTTAAGACCAGGAATCGACAAAAATACATATGGCAAAAGCCGTGCATGTTAAACAAACAACAAAAAATAGATAAAGAAACAAATAAGGGCGTGTCTCGCGCTGTACGTTTTTCCCTGTAGTTTCAAATATGGTAGTGTGTTTAGGCATACTATCTATTTTGTTTTGGCATACTGTCTCTTGCTTTCACAAATACGGTAGTTTTCTTGGCAATTGCTTCCTAAGTCGCGCAGATATTTTGCAGTGATATTTAATCTAGATGCTTAAAGAGTTACACGGTAGTCTGTTTTGTTACGCAAATTAGAGACAGTTTAAGAACTTAAACTTTTCTTTATATTACCCAGAGAAAAAAGATGATAACGATTCTACACTGACCGGGACCTCCTTCGAAATACACGCGTCATGCAGGCGCAGTTGTAACTTACGTAGGGATGAACATTTATTTGGCCTTTTTTCCCCTTTTTTCTGTTACAAAAGGTCCAATCTTAAGATTTTGTCGTTAAAGGGATTCAGCTCAGCCGTTTCTGGACCAAATCAGCTGAAATTTTGCATGAAGGTAGAGAAGACTCATGCCCCAATGGTAGTACATATATGACAGGTATGATGAAATCTATATCTGATCAGTTTTCATTCTGATCCGCATTTCAATACACGGTGCGTCACCTACTTATCAAAACTTACCTTTTGCACAGCAAAGAGGGATAGAGTTCAAACACCTGATGGTCATTGAAGACCTCTTCTCCTCTGTAACTCTGTTGTTACCACTGCAAACGACGGGGCTGGACGAAATTGGGGACACCTTGACAAAGGTGTATGGATCGCCACGAACAGGTAAGGCCACAACATGATATTTACCTTCGCCAAGAAGGTTATGTTTAACATCATTTGGCGAAGGTATGAGATCGTGGAACTCTCGCTAAAAAGAGAAACCCTTAGTCCTGTAGCTTGTAACAAATTGTTTAATGATAATAAATCTATTGCAAGTTCTTGTCTATTTTACTAATTGCAAAAGTAACATGTAAATATAAGTATAAACTACATATTAAGTATAAATATAAATCAATATGCCAGGGTGGATGGTGGTCACATAATTTCATATGTGGGATGATCTTGAAAGCGCCTTGAGATGTTAGGCCTCCTGGTGTCTTGTGATGGTACTGCAGTCGGAAGTTACAGTTTTTGTACATCGGGGGATGCCTCAGTCGCTAATGTGAAGTAGATACAGTTACTGTAGCTCTCAGTACAGCAAAGAAGATTGGGGCCCAAGCACAGGTTTATGGAACTGCATGTGTGTGTTTAAAATAACAATGAAATATTTGACACACCCTGAGAGTGCATGGAGGGGAGTAACTCTTCCCTTTTGCCTCCGTGAGTGATCAGGACAGGGATTGTTTTTACACTGTCTGTGTTTCCTAGAGTATAACTCAAAAACCCTTTGATGGATTTTTATGGTATTTGGTATGTGGGTACTTACTAACGTCACAAAGATGTTCGATCTTTGTGCCCCCATCGCCTTTTTCTGGTACTGCAGTTAAACTTCTTGTTTTGATATATTGTGTCTTGAACATGCTGTGGTCAGGGTTTTTGAGTGGGAGGTATGGGACAGGGAATAGGCGGTGCAGGTTTGGGCCCCCTAACAGTGGGCGTTTTCGCTTCTTTTCTGGATGAGAAATGGATATATCTTCATTTTTGGTTTGCAGATAACTATGACAATAACTGATATGTCTATACGCACATTATGCAAATAAGTATTTCATTTGCATATATATAATGATGTAGCCTTGTTAATGCAGTGTGCTCTATAGGAAGACCTTGAAACACAAGGTTTGTGAAATCTAGAGAGAGACAATCATTATTTGGCATGGATTATGCAAATTTGAACCTAATTTGCATATACAATGGAAGTAAGGAATATATTTCCATGATTTTGCAGAATGATAGGACTTTTATGGAGGTGATGTAACTTGATAGGGACTGTCACAGCTTTTGTGATTTCTGCATTCTAGTGGTGACTTGTGATGGTACTGCAGTTGTGTTGGTGACCAACCACAATATCTTTTCATTGTATTGATTTCAGCTGGCCCACCAGAAGTCCTGGCCAAAAGAGGTGATGTAAGAGGAGCTGAAGAGCTGGCAAATATGCTGTCAAGGAATCTGTCTTGCCGGACAAACTTCACAAGAGATTACACCATGTATGCCAATTGCAGGAGCGAGCAGGTATATAGTTTTGAAAGTGTTGGAAAAAGGTAGAAAACATTCCAGTAAATTGTCTTCATATTTCGTCCAAGAATTAATATTGATGACACCTAATATTGATGACACCTCCAAACAAGTCAAACTGGTATGCATCCCTACTTTCTAGTTTCCACCATGCCTCATATCCGAAAGTAATCAATTGTATTATGACAACATAACTGATGTTGTTGTCGAATAACGTGAATTTCATTGAATGCATAATTTTTCCCTCAGATCAAAGTATGGTCAGAAGTCGTCCTCGAAGTTGTGCTGCAAGTAAGCTGCAATGACTGGGTTGCTGTCCTACCATGTGTGGAGGCAGCACTGAATACTTCAACTGCCCTAAAAGATATAGGTAAGGTAAAATGCTCTAGAAATACAAATATGCTCTGATTTTAGTTTTGTACACTTAAATTAAAATGTAACGTTTATATAGCTACTATTAGATTTTTCTCTTTATGTTGATGGATGTAAGCTGAGGTTGTTATTTTGTGTACAAAAAAAACAGATGGTAAGAGCCCCTACCACATCCAGTTTGGGATTCAAAGTTGCAGGGAGACAAGAGACCCCCATCAGCCAGATGGTGTACAAGACCACAACCAACAAGTAGGTGGTCAATCATAATGAGGTGATATTGTATATGATATGTATATGATATATTGTATTACTGTCATATGATAGGTATATAGCGTACAGTAGGCCTAATTATTGCTTTTCTGCTCGCAAGCTGTAATATGTACGATGTCATAAAAATATATTGTACAGCATTGAAATCCTACTTAGACAAGAAAAATTGGGCCCATTGTACAACACATGTTGCATGCTACATATCCTATGTCAGTTAAAGTTATGTGGCTAAATCTTTTCGATATATACACTTGCTTTTTTATTTTTTTGAGAGAATACAATACTCTGCTACAAGGTGCATAGAGACCTTAAAAACTGTCAGGTCCTGGTCAGCATTGACGCAATGTACTAAATTTCTTTTATGGAACCCTATTAAAGCAAGAGGTATTGAGAGCTTAGGTGAAGAATAATATAAAAGTATGGCTTGTGCTAATTATGGGCTAATTCACATAATGTATGAGGAAATATTATATCTCCCTTACTGTAAATGCTGGGAATTTCATATTGGAGGTATAGGTAGCTTCAGGAAAGGTGAATACAATGACATGTACATGTATGTGTGGTATGCTAATGATTTATGCAGATACTTCATATTTCTTGTGAGGTAAAGGGTAGTTGGACGTATAAGTAGCTATAAGAAAGGTGCATACGATGGACTGTGTACTATGCTAATGAGGACCTAATTTGTATAATCAATTGCATTATGTTCAAAATGTTGTTTCTTGTTTGATATACTTACATATACTACACTATACTAACATTATACTGTATTATATCTGTTTTATATAAAATTCTGTAAGTCTCTCCTAGGCGTAAGAAAGAATGCCAGCAATCTTGGTGCAAGGGCAGAAGTAGGAAGATACCCACTGTGGATCGAAGTCTATACTGAAATTTATTCATATTATAAAAGATTAGTTAAAGAAATACCAAAAGAGAGCTTACTATATGAAGCTCTATTAGTGCAGCAAGACCAGCACCGATGTAAAATACCTTGCTGGTTGTCTCTGTTCCGTATCAGCCACATGGTGATTACATCACCACACATGGTGATTACATCATCACCCGGACGGAGGCGTGGCGAACGCCGTCTTGTATTAAGCTAACGAAAGGGTATGCCACCTCGTAAGGGGCGGTATAACCCCGACCAATACGGTCGACCGATGATGATGATGAGAATACTTGAGGAGTCAGGTTTCGCCTACCTTTGACTCCAAAAAGACAAATACACATCATCTGCTCAATCTGAAGCAAAAGTTCAGTCATCGTCAAGCATTGACAAAATTAAGGATTAGTGATCACCAATTAAAGATTGAAATTGGTAGGTACAACCAGACTCCCTCAAATAACAGAATTTGCACTTTATGTAACAGTAACTGTTTAGAGGATGAAGCACACTTTGTCTTAGAATGCTGACTGGTTTCGACTTTATTCAGTCTTTCTCAAGAAAGACAGAATTATACTGTTTTACACATAGCAACCTAGCTCCTGCACATTCCAATTCACTATAACCATCCTGTACACGCTAACCATCCTGTTCATTTTTTAAAAGCTGGTCTTACTCACTCCTCTGTCCATCTGGTCATTCTAAGCACCTCTGACACACTGAACAACCTCTGACACTCTGACCAGTCTAAGCTGTTCTGGCCATTCTAGGCACTTCTGGCACAGTCTGAACAACCTCCAACACTTAGTCCATTCTAAGTACCTCTGACTCACTCAGGACACCCTCTGTCAATCTAAGCTGTTCACGATCCCTCTTAACATCCTCTGTCACTCTTGTCAGCTCAGCTATTTGGACTCACTCTAAACTGTTCCAGTTTAGATTTCAAAGTACACATTTCATACTTTTAGGATGTTGTCAGAAGGGCAAAGAAGTACCAGAAGTGCGAGAAATCCATCTGCACCGTGGTAACCTTTTCCACCAAGAAGAGGAACATCCAACAACAGCCTCCTGACCATGACTACTCTGCCGGTGCCTCAGGGCAACAGCACACAGCACACAATAGACAGAGGCAAGGCCCAGGCATTCCGGTGGGTTGAAACATGTTATTATATTATTATTCTACTAATGTCAGAAAACGCACATGCTTCAGCACTTTGTAAAAACTAGCCTGTAGGTCAGACAGGAATGGAGATGGGGGGTTTATCACTCTTCATACAGTCCTTATGCCAGAAAGGTTTTCAGTCATGAATGAGTTACAAATGAGTTCATTTTAACAAAACTCATGCTAGCACATTTATGGACAGTAACAGTGTTAACTAAAAAAAATATGCAATCAAAGTGTTTTTGCATAAAAGAAAAACTGAATGAGGCCTCAGCAGTTAAGAGTGATCTGTCCAACATGGTCATTGTTTATAGTATGATTGAATGTATGAATTCAGTGGAAATCTTTCAAATTGGTATTAAAGCACACCTTTGTCCCACTGCATGCAGGGAATCCAGAACAGGCACAACCAGTGCTATATCATCAGCCTACTGCAGGCTTTGGCTGCTGTTAGAGCTGATGTACTGTATACAGACATAGTGGAGCCTACACATGACAACAAGCCATGGAACGCCATGCTTCGTGTGATCAGTAAGCTTGGCAAAGTGTCCCGGGTGGCCCAGAGGTTGAACCTAAATGTCAGCCTAGATGCAATAAGAAATTCCTTGCCACCATTCGCAAATCACAGTCAGCAGGTATCCTGTTTAACTTAAAACACTTACTTTTCTATTCTTTGCGACTTGGTAGCATGGATGCGTTCAAAGTTTAAACTGTAAGCCATGGTGAATCTGTCCCATTCTCGTATTACATGTAGTTTGCAGATTAACTTTTCCATTAACGTTTGCCATCACTGTTTACACAAATGTGCTTATGCTGATGTGAATAAAGTAGTAAGTATCTATAACTTTACATATGTTGACTGACAAAAAGGTAATGGCTTGCCAATCTAATACATTTATACCTTGTTTTGAATAACAGGACGTTTTCGACTTCTTCCTGGCAGTAATGGACTTCCAAGATTGCCCACCATGTCAGGGCCAGAGCTGCATTTTTCTCAACAGGTATGGAAAACCGTAAATAGGATGTATTACTCTTGAAGAGGTTCATTTGTCACGTTGTAACACAGTTTGACACCTTATATGTTCTCCCTTTTTAAACACTGGGGTTACTAGCGCCTCCTCCCAGTCTTGAGGTACTTGACCTGTACGCAGTGATGACTGGTAAATGGTGGTAAATGGTGGTAAGAATGGGAGAGAGTTCTTTAGCCAGCTCCTTCAGCACACGTGGAGTAATGCCGTCTAGGCCAGCTGCTTTTTGGCAGGGTTCAACTTTGCCAGGAGTTTCTCAATGCCAGCTGTGCTGATCTTTATGTCATCCATGGAGGGAAAGTTGTCGCGGGAGCCAGGTAGTGAGCACCGGTCTTTGAACTCTGATGCTGTGTACAAAAATGTATGTGGCGCCCTCACTGAATGCAGTGTAGAACTGTTTGTCCAGTAATTTTATTCAATCAGTGTCAATAAAGTGAGAGTACAGGTAACGTCCCAAATTTTCGACACCTGTTCATCACAGAATAAGATAGTCTCGCATTCTTACATGGAACGCTGATGTTAAGTACATTCTATCTAAGACCTGACCTGACCGTCTCCTTCATGTTGAGAGCCTTGTATTGTGTATTGCGTTACTTTGCTGTAAATTTGTCACTGTCAACTAAATTTGTCACTGTCAACTAATTTCAACTAACTCATGCCACAGTTTTAATGTTTGCATGCAAGTTGATTGAAATAAAATTGAACTTGAACTTGATTTTCGTTTGAATCTAAATCTCAAATTTCTTGTGGCAATGGAAGGTACCTTGTACATACGAAAGGAGATTCCATAATTTTAGTAAGTAAGCCTCTATCACCACACAATTTCAGAATTTTATTTTTTGACTTTGGCCACTTTTTTTCTGATTTGCTTGGTTTTTACAGACATCTTCTGGTCCCCTCTGTTAGGATCTTCAGTGTCACACTGGCCACACAGTTTAGCTGTGTTTGCAGTTCAACATGGAGAGGAGGAGTGGTAGGGCAGCATTACCTTGACCTCTACATGCCAGCTGAGCGCAGTGAGTCAACCACTCTGCAGGAACTACTGAGGAAACACTTCATGCCATCCTCGACACAAGTCACCTGCACTGCATGGCAAGTCACTTCTTTCTTTCTTCCTGGTTCAGGGAAAGGTCTTTCCAAGTGTCCTAGAAAAGATTGTGACCAGTTCAGAGAATATGTGTGGGAAATGTAATAGTTGTTTGTAGCTTAACCATCAGATTTATAGAGCTGTTGGAATTTTTTAAAGTAGTAAAACATACCAGTGCCACATATGACTTACAGACTTTACATTACTTGATAATCATTGGATTTTTGTGATTGACCACAAACATATGACATGTTTAGTCAATCACAAACATCCAATGATTGTGATTACTAATTACACGGACCATATAAAGACTTGTTTTCACAGTACAATGCTCTTTTGCAGTGGTGCCAACAGTGCAGACAGCACGAGCTGCAGCATCTTGCTGGATGCCTCATCATTGCTGGCACTGAGAGTGAGAAGGTGGGACCCCTTACAACATGGCACTGCAGGGCTGAAAGACTCCCGAATTGTCAGATTCACAATTGGGGAGACAGTCACTGTTGAGAAGCAACCTGGAGAACAGCTGAAATACAAAGTAAAAGCAGCTGTGGTAAGTTTTGTGACTGTATTTATGGCTTCACCACCACATAGTAGTATATGAACAGATCATCCTACAGGACTGAATACTATGATGACAAACATGTTGAACCACTGACCAAAGGCAACAAAAATGCCCCTTTGGTCAAAGATCAAGCTAGGTTACTACATTGTTTAATACCAGGATCATAAGTTGTTACCCTATCCATGTTGCAAACACTGTTTGACAGTGACATGTCAGTGAAGTGATGACAACCAGGGTGAAAACATATACCAGAAACATTGTAAAGATATAGTATTGTTGTTGTTGTTGAATAAGATGTTGACACAGGGGATTGAATTTCACCTTCTATCTTTGTAGATCCACCATGGAGCATCAGCACTAAGTGGCCATTACACTGCTGTGGTGGGAGTCAACAACAGGACATACTTAGCTGATGATGACTACACCAACACCATCACACTGTCTGACGAGGAGTACTCGCAGTGTTACATGTTTTTCTTGTCTAAAGTCTGAAAGACATCATTCTATCCTGGCAAGAAAGTGTGAAGAAACTTCACAGACAAAGAAGTCTCTTTTTTTTCTTCACACATACAAGAAATGTGTTAGTGCCAAGGAGCAGGGGCAATTATAGACTATATTATAGACAGGGTGACCAAATTTTTTTTGCAAATGTAGCTGTCCAGCTCCATCTTCATTTAGTAGTCTCTATAGTTATGACTGCATACAAATTGTAAAATCTTTATTATCTGAGCTTAGTCAGTATCACATTCATATCAAAATGTAATCATATATACTGCACTTTTCTCTTATATATGTCAGACTAAATCACGCAACGCCATCATGCAACAAGGAATAGTCATTACATCCTGACAAAGCTAGCTGATAGCTGGCGAAACGTCGATGCTCTGTATTTCCTTGGTTGTGTAAAAAGAACTGTTCGTAATAAAGTACTTTACCAACCTGATGAAGTTGTTTACGGAAATATTTCATTAACATTTTGATGCAACGTACATTTAAACCTACATCTGGCAACCACTTGGGAGAAAAAATGGAACAAAGATTATTAAAAATTAATATTAGTCAAGTACAGTAGATAAATATTGCAATTTGAATAGAGAACAAATGACACTTTGTTTTAGAAATTCAATTTAGATTGTATAGATAAGACTGAGAAATGAGCTGTAACGGTATAGGTAATAAACATAAGTACTGTAGAAAATTAGTTCATAATCATTCACGCAATGAAAGTAGAAAAACATATGATCTGTTTCTTTATCTCTAACTCACGTTAGAACTGAAAAGGGTGAAGTTGGACTTAACCCTGTGAGGAAAAAATGTGCGATGAAGGTTGTCATTCATTCATTCATATTCATGAAAAATATAAATTCCTTCAGAAATTGTGGTGTCGGTAAGTTATGAGCCCCCGGCAGGCAAAGGAAACGTTGATTCACAATTTTAAAACAGCCCATTCAAAGCTAAAAACGTTAACGTTACCGTGTTCTCAGTTGGATGACTTTTTAATTCCATCAAGGAGGTTCAAACATCAGAGTAACAAAGCATTGCCGCAAACACACTGGCCGACAGTAACAAATCGCTGTCATGTCGCCGTGTTCCTTGTTGACCCGGAAGTAGACGAGCCTTGTACCTCGAAAACCCCCATGTAGAGCGTAACGCTGCCAGAAGACAATAGCGGAAAGCCAGGAAATGGGTCAAATTTGACGCGAGATATCTTACTTCTGACCACGATCTAGTCCCCAGGAATAGTTTCTAACTATTATTTAACTCTTTGGGAGCAAAAGCATTTATTTTCCAACTCGATCTGTTTTTTTTTTAACTTAATAATTAGTATTTAAAAATTGCCTCAAACTACCAAATTCCGCGGCCGACACCCCGGCCCGGATTAAATTAATTCCTTATCTTTTTAATCTGAAGTCAACGGGTACCGCTGACAACGCCACGGGAGATATCGTGAAAATCCTATTACGCAGATTACAGTACTAGTATTTTTTTTGGCAACATTAGCACCATCTATTGTACACTTTTGAAAGCTTTTCGCCACCTCCTATTAAATGGGTGGTGTCAGAGCAGGTTTTTCAGAACAGAGAGCGTAGGTCACTAGGTGCGTAGAGCGGGACAGAGTACCGGAAGGGTTTTACTAGTATATAGTTTCGTTTAGTAAATGTTGTACTAAAGTCGGTCTACTGTCCAAGCAGAGGTTGGTGGGGAAGATTATTTTCTATGTATATGTCTCCAACAACGACGGAAAAAAACATGTCCCGTTTTTTCTGACGCTACGGAAAAAGCGGGGCATATATGTAAAAGCAATGACATTATACACGGAGTATAATGTCCTTGGTAACAATTTTCCCCACCAACCTCTGCTTGGAGAGTAAATTCAGTGGCAGGTCGACCGAGAACGGGTGCAAGTCAGAAGAAGGTAATCTCCCTCTTGCAACCCTTTATGTATTAATAGAATTAAAGGATGGGTTTATGAGTCATTTATGTTAACTTATAAATGTATCCTGTCGAACAAGGAGCCCCAGTTAGCTTTGAGGCTCCAGTTGCTTTGAAGTTGTGTTCCCTACCGGAATGTACATTTATCATTTACATACTGCCATACAACGTCGGATGGCCAAACGAGCTAGTCTCCACAAGACTTGGCAAAATTCTTGGCGGGGTTTAGGCAGATTTCTACGATTTATTCACCCCGCAAAAGAAGTCTGGTGGAAACTACAAACGAGCTAGGAATAAGCGATCTACTGTGTATCGTCAACCATGTCAACTGGCTATGCATAATGTTCAAAAGGTTGAAAAACTGATCATTGTGAATTGAAAAGCAGAAAATTTGCATGCATGAGAGGCGTTTGTAGAAGAAAGAGGCCGTATTTTTCACAACAATCCGCTATTGTGAAGGGGGCGGAGCAGTTCTCACAATGGATAAATTGCAGGACACCAGGGGAGGTGCATACATACACACACACCCCACCCACCATACACACACACCCGCCAGAGATATCTGCATTTGAAAGAAGCATTTTCACGTCTACAAGAAGATTAGCCATGGCTTGACCATGGAGTGATTTTTACCTCCATGGCTTGATCAAGCTTTATGAATATAAATTTTTATTCCTCTGCGCTGCAGGCCCTGTCGGACTTTTTCTGTCAACTACGTACGGTTTTCTGTATATTAAACCACACAAATACCATGATATAATCAGAACACGGTATACTATAAAAATGCTCGGTTGGATCTTTTTCTACCTCCGTGGTTGGATGGTAAAATTGGATCTGCACATAAGTCCCATGTCACTTGTGTGACGATACGCGTGAACATAATTTCCGGGGGGAAAATTTCGATGTATAATGTTTCCCCAAGAGAACACTGAAGTCCTCTGAGTCAACAGAAAATAAATCATAAAAGTTGGAACGCGTAACAAATGTGCCCACATTTACACGTCTGTCCTACATATCGGGTCGCGGCTGGTTTTCTTATCGGCTCGCCAAGCACATGTACCCGCGAAACACGATCCAGCCGGCCAGGGTAGTACAGCTGTACCTACATTCTGGGTGATGGCATTTTTCTACGTTATACTGCGTCATACTGCATACTGCCAAGGAAGAGGTCTGTGCCGCTGTGTTAGGATTTGTTCTGTGTGTTTCAGGTCGTCAGCCTGAATTGCTTCCTGGTTCAGAAGATGTCCATCTCGGCAGGGATCATCGTATTCGAGGGTAAATTCCTGCCAGAAGTCGTCCGTCAGGGGCGGAAGTACCTCCCGGTGGACGCCGTGGTCGCTGTGATGTTTCCCCGGGTGCCTCGCCATGTGGACCCGATTGACATCTTCCGGGAGCTCGCCGGAGTTCAGCTGCACAGAGCGACCTGGTCAGAAACTCGAATGTTACAGAGCATTGAGGGCGTTTCACACGGGAAACCACGGGAAGGGACCTCTCCACTCGTCTTGTTTGAAGATTTGCAGCGGTGTTACCCAGAACTTTGCCGAATCTGTAAGAGATACTGCAGCCAAGTCGACAAAACACGCGAAGAAGATTGCGGTCAACAAACTATGCAAGCAAACGAACGCGACGGTGCAAAAAGTAGAGACAGTGAAAAATCTCGGGCGAAACGAAAATTCGATAATCTTTCGACCGTGAACAACAGCAGCACGGGGGAAACGTCCTTGTCGACAGGCGCCTCGAAAGCTGCCAGAAGCGCTGATCTGGAACCAAATGCCGAGTCTATGGAGAGAAAATGTAAGATTGGTGTCGAGAACAAGGACACAGCTGTGGACATAGCTGTGGACACACCTCAACAGTCTAACCATATCACGAACAAGAAGGAGGATGCCAAACACAAAAGTCCCAGTGACCTTTCGACTTTAGAAAACAAGGCTAGCACTAGCGATGATGTGAGATGGGTAGTCGTTGACGAGGTCACAGCGGAAAGCGAGTCATCTTTCGTGCTAGCAGTAGGAAGTTGTGAGTCCATTGATGACACGCCCAGCCCCCTCACTGAGCCTAATCACAGTCTTCCGGTTTCGAAAACGGATTCCTGTGAAGAAGACCGCTTCAGTGATCTGCCCGGCAAAGAGGAAGAGAGACCGGAGGAATTCACTTCTCACCAGACAGTGACTGATGTGTCTGCACCCCTAAATTGTTCACCAACTGGCGAAGCTCTGTGCGGTGTCGGCATGCAAACGTATCCTTTGTGTACAGCGCAAACAGGTGGTGAACAGAAGGACCGGGACGATTGCAGTGATTCCGCCGTAGAAGATAGCGCAGCTGGGCCACATCTCAGCCACAGTCCGAAACCTGAAGCTTCAGTCGGGGAAACGCCAGGCGGCAGTTGTCAGCTCAAGGATAGCGGAGACACGGGAAAGCGACACATCCTAGGGGAGACGCCGAACACCAGAGCAGATGGCAGGCATTTGCAGGAGAAAACATTCCCTGACCCAGAGGGCAATGCTAGCGTAACAAAAGACTTGGGCCAAGTAGCGGAACCCCCGGGGTCATTCATCCAGCACACAGATCATCGTGGGAACGAAACCACCAGCAGCAGTGTGACAAATTCTTTGCCGCCTCCGAGGCGTGATTGTGAAGAATCACAAAAGCCAGTGGTTGTGGCTCATCTGCATAGCAAAGCGGATAAAGCCGACGCCAGTACCGACTCAAGCACAGATTCCAGGAGAGACAGCCAACCCGCCGGGAGAGATGCTCGACAAGCTCAGCAAGACAGAAACTTGTGGTCATCATTGGAGATGTTAGACGTCTGTTGCAGAACTGGAGGGAACATCGAAGATCACCAGGGCCGAAGCGTGTCGTCTGGACCGGAAGACGAGGGTCGCACCGTGCGTGGAAACATTGCGACTCTTCTTCGCAATAACGGCGTGACTCTGCCAGATGTGTCGCCCCCAAGGAGTAGCGGAGAAATACCTCGAGGTTGTGAAACGGCATCAGCAGACGCCGGTGGCCGCCTTGTCAAGGAGGAACGCTGCATGACTGATCTTCAAGTTCCGAAAAAAGAAACTCGAAACATGGCGACAACAGCGGAAAGGGAAGACAAGGGAACAGCAAGCGATACAACTGCTTCCTCTGAGATGACCGGGATCGGAGAAAGGTATGGACTCCCCATTAATCGCCCAGTCAGCTCCCTCGAGTTAAAACACGATGAAAATAAGCCTAACGATTGCAGAGGTAGCTGCAACGAGTCTACGGATGACTCTGGGGGTGAAAATATTGGACTGATCATGGAGTGCGTTCCAGAGCCAACTTACACCAAAGCCAGGTTCAAAGTACCACAAGAAAACGCAACAAAGAAAACGACTGAAGTTGAAGATTGCGCTGCAGCAAAACGATGGGATATTGCGCCTGGTTCAACAGTTAAAGGAAGCAGAAGCCCTTCGGACGATCAACCGAAACGCGAAGTCCACAAGGTCCTCCCTTCTCCCACGGAGACCGTGGACGGGCCATTTCCGCCCGCACAAAAATAGTTCAACAAGATGCACAGCCACAACAACACAAGATCCGATATTGACCGGAAATCCGATATTGGCGACCCTTTTAGTAGAGAGCACGCCTCGTGGTAGCACCCCACCTTCAGATGCGTCACCTGGCTTGAATTCATCACCTCCAAAGGATACCTGTAACCATATGTCTCGTCGAGACGTACAACCTACAACCGCGATGTCTGTCCAAGGCTCCGTTTCTACAAATCCGTCCGCAACTGCTCATCAGCCCCAGCCAATGGAGTTGCCACGTCCCCGTCAAAGAACAGTCTTTCAAGGTCACCAAACAAGCAGCCAGGCGCTGTCGCACGACCAACTGTGGGGAATGGGGACCGCAAAGCTGCGCATTTGGGGAAAGTGGAGCTAAACCAGAAGAACGTGGACGTCGTACAGGTTGGTACAGCCTTCTATTGCCGAGCGACGGCCGTCAGTACCGGCGTGCCAAGCTTCACCTCCAGCATGCTGAAGAAGCTGTGCCCGATCTTCGGCGTCGAGTACATCAACGTCGACCAGGTACGCGCGGGGGTGATGTCTTGCTTCGAGTCGCTCGGATACTCGCAGATCCGATGCCTAGGCGCTCGCACGTGGAGACTGTTTGCTTTACTGTCGTTTCTCGAAACTGCCTTCTGCAGTGTTGACAGGAAGGAGAGGCCCACAACGGAAACGGCCATTCGCCTGGCAAGGGAAGCAATATCGTTGAAGGTGATTAGTAACAACGACATTGTAGTTCGCGGCCATGCGGTGTTGATATATTACCGCAGCGGTGGAGCCTATATTCCCGTGAAGGAATTCCAGCGAATCTACCCTAGGATGTCGATTGAATTGCCTGATGGAAACTTGTGCTGAGCTGAACGTCACGGTTGCCCTGGGCCCACCGGCAGTGGTGAGAGCAATCGGCGATACTGTGACTACGTTGTCTTCAGCTTCTCCGGACCTCGACGACTTTCAAGTCGTTACAGTGTCACTGGATCTACGGGACATGACCAAACTCCTCCTGCGGCTAGAGAACATCCCGAGACCAGACTCCAGCGTCCACAACCCTCGGCGGAGGAGAACCCAGTCACCATACAGGGAACACAAATGAACGTTGCTGCTAGTACAAGTGATAGTTCGGCCACCAAACCTAAATGCCCACCACCTTCGATAGAGAAGCCTGTTCCTACGTCAGCAATGAAAATGGAGGTGATGGAGGTTACAAGTGATGATATTGCTGGGCCCAAGTTGATTCGAAACACCACACCGTCCGTAGTGGCTGGGTCTGTAGGTCAAGGTCCTGCAAGGGAAGCGACGGCAAGTCCTACCGTTGACGAACCTGCAAATGCAACGGCCTCGACGAAGCATGCCGGTCGCGCCAATGACAGTCGTGCCAGTATAAATCCGTCCACGTCTAACCACACCGCTGGTAAGTGTGCATCTCTACGTAAGCTACGTATATCTTCTTCACTACCAATCCACACCCAGGAACACTCTTCGGCACGTGACGCTGGGCCTTCTGATGCCAATGATGTAGCAACCCCAACACAGCCGTTGGAGACGGTCCCAATAAACTGTAACCAGGGTATGAACCACAGAGAATCTGCAGCTAGTCTGGAGATGCAGCCACTCAGCAGTAACACTCTTCCTACTCATGTGACAGAAGCCGACAAGCCTTCAAAGCCACGTGGTTTAACCAAGGAGCTCCTTGGTGTACGTGTAACTAGTGACGGCCGAATAGGTACGATGGCGTCGTCTGCTGCTGCAACCACCCTGGTAAAGACGACGACTGCACAGTCGGCATCTAATGGTTGGAAAGCGGTCGGTGTGACGACTCAGCGTCGTCCCGTCCCGGAACCACGTGGGGATACCGGCAACACCGCTGAACCAGTCCAGGCAACGTTAGCGACAAACACAACGATCGGCGTGACAGTCCAGCATTGTCCCGTCCCGGAACCCCGTGGGGATACCGGCAACACCGCTGAACCAGTCCAGGCAACGTTAGCGACAAAGTCAACGGTCGGTGATATACCCGAAAACACGATGGCGTATCCGCCGCCACAAGATGCCAGGCACTGTCAACGTGGTGTTGTAGACATCGCTGACCAAAAAAGGATCTGCTGCTGGTCCTGAGAACCAGTCACTCTGCAGTAACACTCTTCCTACTAATGTGCCAGAAGACGACAAGCCTTCAAAGCCACGCGGTATTTCCAAGGAGCTCCTTGGTGTAACTAGTGACGGCCAAATAGGTACGACACCGCCTGCTACTGAAACCATCCCGGTGAAGACCACAGCTGCACAGTCGGCTTCCAACGGTTGTAAAACGACAACGATCGGTGTGACAGTCCAGCATCGTCCCGTCCCGGAACTCTGTGGTGATACCCACAACACCGCTGAACCAGTCCAAGTAACGGTCGCGACAAAGTCAATGGTCGGGGATATACCTGAAGACAAGACAGTGTATCCGCCGCAACAAGACGCCAGGCATTGTCACAATGGTGTTGTAAACATCCCTGACCAACGCGTTAACCAAAAAGGATCTGCTGCCAGTCCGGAGAACCAGTCACTCTGCAGTAACACCCTTCCTGCTCGCGTGATAGAAGCTGACAAGCCTTCAGAGCCACGCGGTGTATCCAAGGAGCTACTTGGTGTAACTAGCGACGGTCGAATAGGCACGATGCCGTCTGCTGCTGAAACCATCCCGGTAAAGACCCCAGCTGCACAATCGGCTTCCAACGGTTGTAAAACGACGACGATTCGGCGATTCGTGTGTCCTGTCCCGGAACCCTATAGCTATGGTGATACCGGCAACACCGCTGAACTATCCCAAGCAACGGTCGCGACAAAGTCAACGGTTGGCCTTACAGCCGAAGACATGACGGGACATCCGCCGCGACAAGACGCCAGGCATTGTCAACATGGTGTTGTAGAAATCGCTGAACGAAAGCCATCAGCGAGCGTGTTACTTAGCCTCCTTACATCTACTAAAGCCGGCAATGTGCAGCGACCACCAACTGCAAGCCGACCCGAGGAGACGCCCGACGTGCCGAATATGTGTCGGGGAAGGGAGACACCGGAAGCAGTCGACTCATCGGTCGCCCTTGATCTAACGGTTCGCAAAGAGCCAGCTCCAGTTGTCACGGGGAGTAGGTATACCTATGAACGTCAAGAAGGAAGTACCGGACCTTACAGATACCAGACGGCTAGCGATCCGGTGAGGAAAATGTGCAGCAACGCCGCCACCAGCAGACAAGCAGGAGCTACAGGAGAAAAGACAACACCACCAAAACCATCGCAGCAACAAATCAAATCGGAGCCGGGTGTGTCTACATGTGCGTACGTAGAAAGTGCGAACTCATCGATGCGGCATTCGAGACTGCCGGACTTCGCTGAAAACGCACAGCAAGGAGGCAGCAGACCTCAGCACCCATATCCATCTCAGGCTCAGATCACGTCGCAAACATCGATCATGTCCACAGAGCGCACGGCGACCGTGGGAGAGCCGCGTTCGTCCGTTTCTCCACTTGATGAGCTCCAGACTTTCTCAGGGAACGTTGACAAATTGGCCTCCTCGTCGCCACCAAACTCAGCCGCCTTTGGTCCGCCGCGTTACGTTCCTACGGGCGTCGCTCAGAAGCGATATGCCTCTCCTCCACTTCACCACCTTAATGAGGTCCAGACTTTCTCAGGGAACGTCTCCCCGTCGCCGTCAAACGCAGCTGCCTCTGGCCCACCGCATTACAATCCTACGGGCGCCGTTCCTCCACTCCACTCCCGTCATGACGTCCAGACGTTCTCAGGGAACGTTGATGAATTGACCTCCTCCTCAATACCGAAGAACTTCGGTGCACCGAATGTTGGCATTCCTGCAGGCTTCGTTACCAGGAAGCGTAAGGGGTCGCCGGTGGAAGAGATGGCAAACGTGCCGTCCAAAAGAAAGTCTCCCTGTGAGCTGATGGGGAACTACGCCGTTCAGCAGCAGCAGGGACAAGGCGAGAAGTTCTGTCAGGAAGGTCTGTCGTCACACTCGGTATGTTCACCGTCAACCATCACTGGCCACGTCAGACAAGCTGTGGGTCCAACTCAAGGTGTCATCAGTGATGCCATCTATAAGAAAAACGACATGAGGAGGCTTCAGTTAACTTGGGAATCTTGCGGCCCAGTTGACGGGGTTCCTAGGGATAAGGCCCAAGAAAAGTTTCCCGTGGTGATAGTCTTCGAACAGATGAAGGTCGCCCTTACCTCGGACTTCGTCTCCCTCTTTCCGCACGTCACTCTCACAGATTTCATGAAGGCTTTAGGAGGGATAGGGCTGAAAATTTGCCCATGTCCCGTATCCGTCAAGGAGTGGTTCATGCAGGTGGGGAAAGAGGATGCGGCGTGCTCGACTGTTGTGAAGTCTAGGGTTTGAAAGCGTTTCCTACGTCGCTCTGTTGCTGAGCAAGCAATTATCCCAGCAGAGATGCTACACATCATCAAATGAGAACACTTGCATTGGAACAACATAACCAACGCCACGGCCGAGAATATCCGGGTCTCGAGCACCGGACACGCGAACTGCTACCGACGTAGTAACGATCGTCATCAGATGTCGACCCCGCCCTATCATGGTTCTGAGATGCCAAACGTCAACAATCCACCTGCAGTACCTAGGTCCGCCGTTAGGGCTCCTCCAAGTCCACTCGTACTCGAAAGTCCGGAGGATAGTAGTAGTGGCCTACAGATAGTAGCCGTACAGAGTCTTGCTACGGGAGAAGGTTACAGTATGGTAGGGAACCAGCAAAGGGTGTCTACTGAAGGGATGGCTGGTAGTGGCCAGCGGGACACGTCGCAGCAGAAGCAGCATCGCGCACCGGCTCACCCGCCCCGTCCTTCAAGAGCGAGGATGGAGTCGGTCCAGGGACCGTATCAACACCCCGTGAGCAGCAGCAGCCAGCAACCGTACTACCCTCCTCCTACTGCCCCTGCTGCATTCCAGAGCAACAACAGCGGCGTGCCTATCGTCAACCTGCAGACGTGGTCACAAGTGAGAACTGTGGAGTACTGGCAACAACATGCGACCGAAAGGAATCACCAGCCATCGACAGTACCAGGTTAGCTTACCTGTCCCATGCAACGTACACAGGACTGCGGACTAGTTGGAATCATTGAGCGACCGTTCTGTCTATGGACCTTTACATGTTACCACGTTATTATGCATGCACGCATGGATGCTCTGTATTGTCCATGTACCTTAAACGTTTTGAGTTGTTGTTTTGAGAGTTCTCAAGTTTATCATATGTTGCTGTAGATGTAGTCAAATGTTTACATATCAACTAACAACATAAGATTTATTTCCTTATACGAGTTCGCTTGTTCCAGGAGAGATCTGGGAAGGCTGGAAATGTTAAAAGTCAAAGTAAGGTCGGAAAGCAAAGTGCTCAAATTAGTTACTAGAAAAGACGGCCACGAAAGGTGAATTTCTATGTTATGTACAACTATTTTTGAAAACATCCTATGTAGTTTCTATACTACACTACACTAGTTTCTAGATAGACTACATTAACATTGATTTATATGTTCATTTGCCTTGTATTCCAAATATGAAATGGTCGGGCAAAAATCCCAGTTTAAGATGAATTCTATGCGCCATAATTATGTACAACTATTTGTTACAGTATGTTCCTATACATTCCTGTACATTCCTATACTGAAACTACATTTACTTTGATTTATATGTTCATTTGCCTTGTTTTCCAAGTATTAGACGGACGCGTTAAATGATGGATACAGGGTAAAAAATCTCATGAATTTCTATACGCCTGTGCACGTGCGCCACATTAAAGATAATCCTTGGCCCCCTGTACACGTCTTACAACATCGCCCTGTCCCAATTATGTTTGCCGTCCCTAGAGAAAAGAAGAGAAACCCTTAGCCTTAAGTTTGCAAAGTCCCTCCTTAACTCCCCTTCGTTCCGACATTGGTTACCCCCATCCCGCTCAGACATCCATGGCAGATGCCTGAAGGGAGCAAACCAACTCGACATCCCTTTGACGAAAACAAAGCGGTACAAAACGAGCCCAATCCCCTATTTCACTGACTTGTTAAATAAACAAGTAGACCTACGTTGAAATCTCCCAGTACCGGACCAATATTGTTTTTAATCACTTATATATCTAATTTATAACTGCGTACAGCTAGTATTTGTTTAAGTTGTTTGTACCTAGTTTGTCAATGTCCTTTGTTTGTTTAGCCCACCTTATTGTTTAATTGTTTTTAAACCTGTGTACGCAATTCAGCGGTTTAAACGCTGCCATGTACAAGGATTGTTGTCAATAAACTATTATTATTATTATTATTATACGTACAACTGTTTGTTACAGAAAGTATTTTCGAAAACCATACAGAAACTACATTGATTGATTGATTTATATGTTCATTTGCCTTGTATTCCAAAGATGAGATGTAGATTAGAAATTAGAAATTATTCTTAACGTTTGATGAACGGACGCGGAAACCTTCTCTCCGTGGCAAAAGTCCCTCGGCAGCAAATCGTCCCTCGCGGCGGCATATTACTCGCGTCGCTCACAAAAATAACGCCCACGCCCAACAAGACTGCGAAGGAGGCTAGCCTAAATCTGTCTCCGTTTCCGAAAGAGTCTGTCGAGAATTCTACACCTTTCTCCCGCTGCTCTACAGGTAGACACTGCTACTACTAGGCAGTGTGTATTGGAGTACTAGTAACTTCATCAAGTGTACCTTTTAGAAATACACTTTCTATTATCATGTCCCTCCTCGACACCGAAGAAAGAAATAGCTAGATATGTAGTACCAAGGTACTGAAGAGCTGGCCTACTCTCTATTAAAGCAGAGGTTTGGGTTTTGCATGGAGGTAGAACCGCCATGGGTTTTGGGGGTATTTTTAGCGTGTTTTTAGGCTTTTTCTTATTGGGGTTTCTCTTTTGCACTGAATTTTTTCCCACCAAACCACAGTGCAAAAGAGAAACCCCGATAAAAAAAGCCTAAAAACACGCTAAAAATACCTCCCAAACCTCTGCTTGGAGAGTAGAGTTTGCCATGCATTGCTCACCCGCAAAGCATGACGGGAAATATTTTCGCCCCAGACTTGACTGCGAGCCTAGACTCGCTCCTAGAGCAAAACAACATGGTCTCTGCCAGGCTGCGGTAGCGCTAGCAGAGTGTGGGCCAGTTTGAAATCCTGTTGAAACCTCCGTGGATCTAATAAGCTGACACCAGGTTAGTGTGGACGTTCTTAACGGTGTGTATTTGTTTTGTTTGTAGGGGCTATAAAATTTTCATAAGTAAACGAAGCCTGGACCAAAACAACTCGTCACAGTGTAGCCGCGGCGACTGTTGCAGGGCTTCCCTTTCTTGCAGTCTTTTACATTAGCCCTAACAACATGTTTGTTCATTTGGCCCAAATTATGCACCGCTCCGCGACTGTTGTTAGGGCTAATATAAAAGACTGCAAGCAAGAGAAGCCCTGCAACAGTCGCCGCGGCTAGTTTCCCCCCAACACGATGTTCGTGGAGGGCTAATCAATCTCTCTTGAAATACACACCGGGAAACCTATGTGAGGCGGGCGGGACGGCACTCGGAGCTCTTTCCGCCACGACCACGATCAGACTCACTGGATACCAGGCTATGATGGACGCAGAAATATACTAAAAAAAAAAGAGGCATCAAAACATTTTACCCACATATCGAACGGGGAATTAACTCGGTAACGCCACATATGGTTAGCCTGGGTACCATCCTACTTGTATGCCGGGGCTCCCACAGTCGCCTCCCTAAGAAGTACTTTCTTAGGTGTATGTTCTATGCATGCATGCTGCATGATAGACTTGTGATCCTAAGAGTACAGGAAAAAGCAGGACTAACTTCAACCACCGGTACTTTTACCTTTTGAATGATCCCTGATATTCTATAGATGTGTATAGTGCCAATGTTTTAAATCACAATTTCATGACAATTACACATTTTGTGGTAGATTTGAAAAGGCTCATAGTAGCCTCAAAAGTTTGGCAATATTTTACTGTAATTGTCATCCTAAGAGTACAGACAGAAAAAAAGCAGGACTGACTTCAACTACCAGTACTTTTTTGGTTGGGAGGTCTGTGACACACTAGATGTGTGCAGTGTCTTTTATTAATCACAATTCCATGTTAATTTCACACATTCTGCAATGATTTTGAAAAAAACTCACAGCAACTTCACAAGTTCTGGCAATATATTATAGGGTTTGAGTGTTGCTCACGTGTGGGTGAGTTATGGTGGCTTTTAACTCTGCCAGAAGCAGTTCAGATGTGTGTGTCTGTGTGATGTACGGTGCTGGGATGTGGAGGCTTTGGGGAGGAAGCTTTTTCACTGGCTCAGTTGCACATAGAGGCATGAATCTTACTTGCATAGCAGTCAGTATAGCTCTGCTATCTGGTCCAGGTAATTAGTATGATGGAAATCTGGCTTTGCACAACTTCTGCTCTTAAAGTTAGATGGACGTTAAGCCTTTGCACCAGCTCTGTTGTGCATAAAGACTTTCATCTTGCTCAGAATGCATTCAGTCTAAGTCTGTCATCTCACATGGTCTAGGTAATTAGTACAGAGAAATCTGGCTTTGAAGTACTTCTATAGTGAAGGTTATACATAGACAGAAAGCCTTGCACCAGTCCATTGCCACATGAAGACATGAATCTTGCTTTGAGTACATTGAGTATATCTCTGTTATCTGGTCTAGGTAATTAGTGCAAGGGGAGTCTGTCTTTGAAGTGAAGGTTAGATGGACAGAATGATATAGAGGGCAGAAAGTGCTAGTGTTATCTGTAAAGTGTAAAGCTTAAAGATTTGGAAGTTTAATGTGGCATATAGAAAGCCTTTGCAATGGATCAGTGGCACATGAAGGCATGGATCTTGCTCAGAGTACAGTCAGTGAAACTCTGCTATCATGTCCAGGTAATAAATACAGGGGAAAGTGTGAAGCTGGAAGATTTAGAACTTCAATTTGCCACATAGAAAGCCTTTGCAATGGATCAGTGGCACATGAAGACATGGATCTTACTTTGAAAGTAGTCAGTGAAACTATCTGGTCCAGGATAATTAGTACAGGGGACTAGCTTTCAAAACGATATAGAGAGCAGAAAGTCTGTGTGAAGTATATGAAGCTTGAAGATTTGGAAGTTCAATTTGGCATAAAGAAAGCCTCAACACCAGATCAGTGGCACATAAAGACATGAATCTTGCTTGGAGAGCAATAAGTGTAAGGCTGCTATCTGGTACAAGGTAATTAGTGCAAGGGGAGTCTAGCTTTGAAGTGAAGGTTAGATGGACAGAATGATATAGAGGGCAGAAGGTGCTAGTGTTATCTGCAAAGTGGGAAGCTGAAAGATTTGAGATTTTTGGTACAGATTTTTGCCT